AAGTGTATAATTTCTAATTATTTACATTTATACAGATATATACTGATTATTTATTAGATAATATTAAGATAATAATTTATTACACTCATATTACTCTCACTGTAAGAGATACACAGTTAATAATAGATATTATAAAGACTCTGAGAAGTAAGTATTTTACAAGTGCTACAGCTCTATAATCTTGATTTTTTTTATTTTTATTTTTTATTATTTTCTTTTTCTTTTCTTTTTTTTTATTTTTCTTTTCTTTTTTTTTCTTTCTCTTTTTTTCTTTCTCTTTTTTTTTTTTTTATTTTGATTTTTTCTTGTTTTTATTTTGTTTTTTGTTTTTTTGTTTTTTTTGTATTTTATATTTTTTTTATAATTAAAATTATATTAATTATAATCTATGTTTAGAAAAGTAATGATATTTGATAATACTCTCTATTAAATTTTCAATAAATGAGCACTGTGTTATAATATTATGTAAGTGAGAAATGATTTCATAATCTGATTTAATATCATTTTCAATAATAAGATCAGAATGAAAATATAACTAAGAATTTAAATATATTCTTTATCTGAGACTAGATTTTTATTTGAAAAGTGAATTTAAGATCTTTAATATATGAAATAATGTGATTTGAAATCAATGTAATGAATACAAATTATGATTAAAAGTAATGCTTTTAGATAATGTAATAACTGTACAGTTTGATTCTGGTCTCAGCCACGGTTATGTGGTGCGGAAGAACGTATGACTGTCGGATAATAACGCGGCCGCTTCCGAACTTGCTTACGAATGTAAAGAGGCCATAGCGGCCACTAATTAATTTAGTGTATGATATATAAGAAGCCGGCATATGCCTGTAATTGTACACTGATAAAAGCAACTGTTGAATCACATCTGATAGCATGTCTAAAAATCAGTGAGAAGCACAGACTTCTTCAGAGTATGATAATTCTATCTACAAAGCAATTTATAGTTATCATGTCAGTGTGATTCTAGAACATCTCAAAAGATAGTGTACAAAGAGTGATGAGTGAAAGAGTATTCAATTGATACTGCTTCACTTGTTAGGAAAAAACTTCATACTCAGGCAAATACTGCATATGCAAATGAATGAGGTGTGAGAAAGAGAATGAGAGCAGTGAACCAGATTCAAAGAAGTTCACTCTCTACTCAAAAGAAGAATAAACAGAGAGAGTGATCATCACTGAAGTTATATAATAATAACAGAAATCATATAACAATATAGTAATATAATAATATAGTGATATAATAATATAGCAATATAATGATAGATATTATATATTCAATGAGAAATTACTGAAATGAATATCTTCTCTAGTTAATATAAATAATACTCTTCTCTGCTATCTGAACTGAAAGATATACAGAATCTCTCAGAGAGTGTACTTAAAGTAGTAAGAAAAGTGACTGAAACTGCTGAACCAGAATTGAAGCTCTGTATATATATAAGAATTCTAAATGAGATCAAGGCCTTGTGTATGCAGTGGCAGACTGAGGCAGAAGTCAAACAACAATTGACATTCACAGTGAATTAAGCATCTACTATGAAGAGCTTCACTGACATAATCATCATCATCAATAAGAATAGAGAAAACCAGGTCTTAGATCTGCAGCAGAAGATTGAATATTTACATAGATAGATAACTACACTGAATCTGAAGATTTTATTATAATTATTCACAATCTCTTCAGAAGTGTATATATTATCAGAGATCACTGTGTAGAATGAGAATCTGAGCATGAAATATATCAAGCTGAGAGATCTGTCTGAGTTACTAAGCTTCAATAATAACTGAAAAAATGATGCTGTAATCAGCTGGCTAAGTCAGATGTAATCATATTATCAGATTAAATATGAACTTATAGACAGACAGTCAATAGAATTTTAATAAGTCTTAAGATCTGCTACATCTCTACACAGAAAAGTGAAGTCATTATAAATAACTAGTAAAAAGATGAATCTTACAGATCTGAAGTGATATTCATTCTCATGAATATGAAATGAGTTTTTCAAATGAATCTTGTATAACTTTGAGAAAGTAGATGCATGAGATAAGTGTTACAAATACTTCACTGAGTGTAGACAAGTGAGTAATCTTACATTATACTTTACACACTTCAGCTTATACTATCTTATATTGAATGAAGAGCTTTCAACATCTTTCTGTTTACAGATCTTCATTCATAATCTTACATCTGAGTTAAGAGTAGAATGAAAATGCTTAATCTTATAATCAGATATAGTGAAAGAAGTATACAATATTCTCATTATATGAGAATAAGTGAGTCAATTACAACAGAAAATACTGCAATCAAGTATATCTCAGTGAAGAACAGATAATCAGACTTCTATAACACAAGTTACATATCTGAATATAATAAATCTAGATCTGAATATCATTGCTAAAGCACTGAATTCTCTGAAAAAGAGATTTTCTAGATGAAAATCTTGATATTATAAGCATTGAGCTTGCTTCAACTGCAGACATTAAAATCATGATATAAAAGATTACACTCAGCATACACAGTCAAGAGAAGCAAGAGAGTTAAAAAACTAGCAGAATCAGTGAGCTCAGAGACACTCACTGATATTCTATGAAAAGTCTTCAAAGTGAAAGAGATGTCTGTGTTAGATGATTCTCTGAATTCTGTGAATATCAAGAGAAAGCAGACTCTCAAATGAGATGTGAGTGAGAATGATGAAGTGAATACTCATCTCAATGCCTTGAGGCCTGAAATGTTAATATATAAGAAGCACTTGAATAAGAATCAAGAGATGACTGCAAAAGTATTAGCAGACACAGAAGCTTCTATATAATATATTAGTAATTATATAATTTGAAGACTGAAAGAGGTTCACTGAGTGAAAAATTCCTGACATATAAGATTATTTAATAACTGATATTTAATATTATCTGTAAGAGTAAGAGTTCTCTTGCACTTTAAAGAATAATCTTGCTATATTTAAGCATGAGAGCTGCAGAATGTGGAATACAATCTTATTCTTAAACTCAATTAATTTCAAAGATTCAATTCACAGATTTAATAATGTACATGTCATATGTGATTGACTGATAGAAAGAAAATGATTCATACAATTCTATCAACTGATATGAGAAGAACATTTCATGCCTCTGATATAGAAGAGTTAAATCTGCTTATACATTAACAAGTAAAGAGAATAATTTGTAAAATCTTATCTGAAAGCATTCTGTATATCATATGAGATCTGAAAGTGGAGAAAATCAAGATAAAGAATATACAGAATAACAAGTATATAAAGAAGCTTCTGAAGAAGTATGAAAAGATCTTCTGAACAGATCTTTCATCAGAATTGTCACTGAAACAAGAATTCATACATGAGATTGATATAAGGAATGCAAAACCAGTCAATCAGAATGTATATTCTCTGTCACAAACATATCTTGAAGAACAGAAGCATCAGATCACAGACCCTCTAGAATATAATCTCATACAATTCTCATCAAGTGCATGAGGCTTTTCAGTTCTATTTATGAAAAAGACAGATGAGAAGTGACAGATATGTATCAATTATCAAGCACTTAACAAGCTTATGATCAAGAATGAATATTCATTATCACAGATTCAACAACAGTTGAATATAGTTGAAAACACTTAATATCTATTGAAGATCAATCTTCTCTCAGAATACTGACAGATCTGTGTAGATGAACTATCAGTCTTATGAACTGTATTTAATATATAATAAGAGAAGTTCAAATTCCTGGCAATGTCATTCAGTCTGATAAATGTACTTATCATCTTTCAAATGATGATGAATATGATTCTTTATAAACAGAATAAAATCTCATGTCTTGTATATCTCAATAACATTCTAGTCTTTTCAAACTTATATGATGAATATCTGAAGTATCTTAATGAGATGCTTATAACTTGAACAGAGTATAAGCTCTATATCAAATTAACAAAGTATGTGTTTGAAATGAAATAGTTGAAGTTTGTAGAATATGTAGTGAGTGATAACTGTATATATCTCATTTCAGAGAAATTGAATGTCATAGTAAATTGATCATAGTTGAGAAATGTATATTATATACAATAGTTTCTTGAATTAGTCTTATATTACTGCAGATTCATCAAGAATTTTGTATAAATATCTGTATCACTCTCAGATCTCTTAAGAGAAATAGATACAAATCTATGAAAGAAGAAGTTTCATTCAATTATCTGAAATATTGTATGCAAAGAGACTTTTCTCACACTGAGAAAATGTATAATAATATTCTCAGTACTTATTCAATCAGATTGTGATAAATCTTTCTATATTAAGAGAGATGTATCTGAATGAGCTATCAGAGATGCTCTTCTACAGATGAGTAACAATGACAAGCTGCATCTGATGATGTATGATGATAGAAAACTATCAGGCACTGAGCTCAATTACTCAGTGTATGAAAAGAAATTGCTAGTAATTAAGCATATGCTGATGTTGTGAAATAGATATATTAACAACAGACATATAATAACAGTGATTATGAATCATGAAAGCCTTATCTATGTACAATTAATGATAAAACCTTTCAAACATTTAACATGTTGAATCTTGGAGTTTCAAGTATATAATCTTTATATTAAATACTGAAAGAAATCAGACACTGTGATATCTGATGCAATCAGACACTGTGATATCTGATGCAATCAGTCACAGACCTGACTTCATGAGTGAGAATTATGAGAACTAGATATAAGAAAAGTTCATGTTAAACATGCTGAGAGAGTACAAGAAATCAGAATGAGTAAATATAATAATCTCTCACTTGAAGAATAGTAAGATGTTGAATGATAAATATCTCATAAAAGTAGTAGAAGAGATACTTTCAAACTTTAAGCTGAGAAAATTGAAAAATGATGTTGTGCTTTATCATGATCTAGAATATACAGAAGCTCTCTATCTAGAACATTTATTTAAACACAACTTGATAACTTATATACATAAGAAATTCAGTCACTTAGAAAGCTCTGAACTCATGAGTGTACTTGAATCAAGAGTATACTGGCCAAGCATGGCTGAGAACATTCAGATGTATGCTCATGAGTGCTCAAATTGTCAGATTGTGAAAGAAGTCAAGAAAGAATTAGAATATGAAAAAGTATAATATCAGATAAAGTGTATAATACAATCATTCAAACAATGAGAGATGAATCTTATAGACATATTACTGTGAATACTAAATGAAAATTGATGAATAATCACTGCTATTAATTACACTACTGACTGATCAGTTGTGAAAGCAGTTTCAGAGATGATAGAGAAGATAATGACAAAGTTTCTACATAATGAGATCTATATTAACTATGAAATACTGTATGAGATTCTAACTGATAACAGTGTAAATCTTATAGAAGAAGTAGTGAGACATTTCATGAGTCAGTTACAGACAAGATATTGTAGAACAATATCATATCATCTACAGATAAACAGAAAGATGAAACACTTGAATGAAATCTTAAGTAACATGCTGATGAAATATCTAGTGAGTAAGCCTACAAGACTATGAAATGAATATCTCAGTCAGATGCTATTAATCACACAGATTTAATAGTATGCAGTCTTCAAGTATTTATTATTCTACCTATTGTATGAATTGCATCCGCACATCCTGAAGAATGCTTTGAAAAAGATGAGAGAGAGAACAGCAGTTATGAACACAGCAGTAGCAGTTGCAGATGCAACAGTTATAAATGTGAAATCAAGATTGAAAGAGATCAGTCATGCATGTGTAAAAGCTAATGAGTTACTCCTGAATCAAGCAATTCAATCAAAAAGAATACAAGACTTACTAGTTAAGAAATTGAGTCTCAAGATGAGAACATGAGTTCTTATATATAATGAGAGTTCTGAGAAGTTTCAATCTAGATGATTTGAGTCATATAAAATACTCAAATCACATTCTTTGAGAACATACACATTGAAAGAATCAGAGAAACAGATCTTACACAACTTAATAAATGATTCATGACTTATAAAAGTAAAGATATAAGATCTGAGTGAATTATAATTATTTACAGCACTATTATCAGTATTGAAAAAGAAGAGACTTACAATTGAAAAGTCTTACAAAGTAAGAGAAATCATAGATACTTATGAATCAGATGATCTCACTTATTCTAATCTTTTCACAATTATAAGAAAAGAATGAGAAGAAATGAAGAAATCAGACAAATATTATACTTTAATAAGTGATAAGACTGTAGCTGATTGTATGATAATATGTCACAGACAGTGAGTGCAACATGGCAAAGAGCAGTCTCAAAGTGACAGACTTGTATATGAGTCAGATCACAGAAGAAAAAGAGATTCAGAGTTGAATTTAACTATTTACACTAGTTCAATCATAGAGATAACAGAGAACAAATCATCTGAAATATTCACAGATATGTGAGATTAAGTTATGTTGACTTCTGAGAATACTCAGAGATCAGATAAGATTAGTTTTGATAAGCTGTTTACTGTAGTGATCTGAGTGAGTAAAGAGAGACAGTATAATACATAAGACAGAATCATAAAAAAATGAAAGCTGCTGAATCTAGTCACTGAACACTGTATTATATAGAGATTGTGTAAGAGTAGTGACTAACAGACAAAGAAAAAGTGTAAGAAAAGAAAAGAAATAATGAATTGATTACTAACTATAAGAATTGATCACAAAAGATAAATATTATCATACACATCTTATTCATTTTCATATATCACATATTTAATCTATTTTCAATATCATATTATCTGAAAAACATCAAAAAACAAAGAAAATCTCAAAACTTGAGATCTGTAAGGAATTTGAGAGCTGTAAGCTACTCTTGTAACAACACTGTACATGTCTTCAATTCCTCTACTGCTCTGTGTACAACATTAATGTCATTTATTGTAAGATTGACTGGAATGCCAATATAGAAATGTGTATATGTATGTGTAGAAAAATTGAAGAAGAGTGTAAGACTCACAGAATCAGAAGCCAGGGCAGAGAAGATAAAGATAGAAGAAATGAAAGAAGAAGAAGATACAGAACTGAATGAATAATAGCAGAAGTTATCTAAGACTGAATACTTATAATCTGATGTGTGCACAACCTTCTCTGCAGAGAAGGAAGAGAAAGTGATGAAAGAAGCTTGAGAGTGAGAGAGAATAGTCTCAGTGATATTATCATCTTTGATTAGAATGATCTCTGACACTGAAGCAACTAAGAATCATTATTAGTGTATAAAAATTACAAAATCAGAGATGAGAACAGTTACTGAATAAATACTCACTGATCTTAGAGTTGTATATACAATTACAACACACATAAGACTTCTCAAAAAGAGAGAGAGAGACATGAGAGAATGCAGGAAGTAGAACACAGTGTGTGAATAACTCATTCTCATAATAATATCTCAGACAAGGTGTATAAGTCTCATGTCTGTGAGTGTAAAAGAGTACAACATCTGTGTTCTCATTTCTGAAAACATGAATATTCTTTGCCTGCATCATGAAGTTGAATAACAGATGTCAGAGAATAGGCTGTTTCAGATCTATTATCTCAAAGAAATTCATCAGAGTGAATGTCTCTGTAATATTGAACTTTATAATTGTAAAAAGTTTCTTAATATCTGTGAACATTATGACTTTATATATAATAAAACTCATAATGATTTTTTCTAAGAATAGGAAAATCAGTATCAGAAAGAAAAGATGAAAAAGAAAAAGACTTATAATCTTGACACTGTTGAGAGAGAGAGTAATTCTCTGATATGAATAAATAATTGTTTTATCATGAATATTTAAAATGAATATAATAATCAGTGTTCATAATCAAGCTTCAGATAGTTGTATTATATACAGTCTTTATACAATAAATTATTCTAGAGATTGATAAGAAGAATGAAAGTGTATACACTAAAAAACATGATTTATTAAGCCTACATAACATCTTCTTGAAACAAGAAGAGCTGATAATGAAAGCAGAGACAGCAGAATCAGAGAGAGCAGAGATAGTGAGAGTGAAAGAATCAGATACAGAGACAGAGATAGCAGAAGAAGAAGAATCAGACAGAGAGACAGATGTAGAAGATTGAGAAGAAGTAGCAGAGAAAGAAACAGAGAGAGCAGAGAAGAACATGAGAAACTCAGCTACATAACATAAGTAATTTCTTCATTATTATGTTCTTTAAGTTCTCAATCAATGATTCAATATTGAGTTCACTATCATCAGTGAATGCAGATCTGTCAACATATAAAGATTCTATATGAATAAAAACAAACATATCAGTATCTGCATTTATGCAAAATCATGTCAGAAAATATGATCAGAAACTCACTGAGAAGAAAAATGATCAAGAGTGTATAAGAAGTTGAAGAAGATATATCACTCATGATAATATATTCTAACAATTATTAGAAGATAAATAAGTTCTGATCATGTTTCACAACATGTTATACTTACTGCTAATGAACTGCCTGATATGAGCACTACAATAATACTTATTGTAAGAACAGAGAGTTATTGCCAGAAATGTATACAATGTAATAGATAAACAGATAGAAAAGAGTTGAACAGAAGAAGAGATAGAAATCTTAAATGAGATAATAACATTTAATAATAATGATGATAAAGAAGATGATTGAAGAATGAGAAAAGTTAGTAAATGAGTGATATTATTATTATTATTATTATTCTTCAATTATAGATGTATGCAGTCAGAGACTATAACATCTATCTGAGAACTTTTAGTTCTCAGAGTTTTTCCTATATCTGTAAAGTTAACTATTATACATTCATTAATTTCAGATATGCAAAATCAGAAAATTCCAGCTCAGAATATAAAAACTGTTTACAAATTACAGTGTTTTAACATCTTCTGATACTTTGAAATCATTTGACAATATCATGACAAAGGAAAAGAGAAAGAGAATACAGTCTTAAAGATAGACACATTAAATAAATAGATAGAAAGAAATTGAAAGAAAAAGATAAAGTAAAGAGAGCTACAGAACAAGATCTCTGCAGTTTACATCTTAAGCTATATATATCTTTTAACACTCTATATAACTGACTGCTGTCTCTGTTCTCTCAGACTTACTTCAGAGATTATCATTTTCTCTAAAGAGCTGCTGCTCAGCTAGCTTCTGTAACTAGCTTACTCATAAGTAAGATTCTCACTAAGAATAACATCAGAGTTACTCAATTCTAGTTAAGTCTCTAATCTTTCAGCTATTAATCTCAGCATTTCAGCCTATCAATTGACTGTCATGATCTTGCTTGTACTAATCATCTATTAAGAACACCTAGGTCTTGTCTCATCTAGATTCTTGCTAGACTCAGAGTGTTCTAATCAGATAGTTTTTAAATCTCATTTTCTGAAAGTGAGTGTCTAGAGTGAAGAGAATGAGACCTGATCAGTTAAGCTTAATAATAATTCACTATTCTGTGAGCACTCTAGATCTTAATCACTCTAGTACTGATCTAACTTGAAGTGTCTGAAGAGCTGTTAATTCTAAGATCAGTGAGAATTAGCACTCAGAAACCTCTGGGATGAACATCTTAAGCTTGATAATAATTCACTATAGTGCATCCGGGGGTCCCTGATACTGTTTTATAACTTAACAGTGGAAGCTGTGGTTAAGATGGCTCTTGCAGAGTTCGAACCTGCCCCCTCTTGGCATTCATTCCCCGGGGGGAAGGCCGCTAATTGAGGCTTCATGGTAGCGTAGTTAACCACTACGCCACCGGGCCGAATGAGTGATGTAATATAGTGAAAGTTTCTTTGTGAGAATGTACACAGAACACTAGCTGAATCAGAATAGACTACATAATCATGAACACTAGTGGCATGCTAATCTGCATGAAGCTAGAGCAGACATCATGATCATGTGAGTGTGACTGAATCTGATGAGAGAGAATGTAGTTTAGAAGAATGTACAACTATCAGATAATAACACAGCCACTTTCAAACTTGCTTACAAATGTAAAGAGGTTATAGCGGCCACTAATTAATTTAACATACGATATATAAGAAGCCGGTGTACGCCTGTAATCGTACGCTGGTAAAAGGAACCTTTGAATCACAGTTACACAGTCAGTCTAAGCAGATGTAAATTTATTAAGAAAATCTCAGAGTGCTCAGTTAGTATACTTCTGAAATATACTGAGAGTATTAGTCATTCTGAAGAGTGTGACTACTCATTCAAAGAGATTATATTATGTTTAGAATGCTGTAAGTTACTTATCTTCATCACTGATACAGATCTTATAAAACACAGTAATAATATCTCACTTTCTCAATCATTGAGCTTGTTTAATATGAGCTAGAATTTTACTGATAAGAGATAAAGAATAGCAGTCTTTCTTTATTAATCTGTTTAATTCTTGATAGTTCTCACAGAATCAGAGTTCTTCACCTGATTTCTTTGTAAAGAGAATAGAAGCTGCAGCAGAGAAGTTGCTAACATATATAAATTCTTTATTTAACAGATTATTGAGTGTCTTTTAAAGAAGAA